TGGGAGGCGACGGTACGACAGTAGTCGATGGTCGGATGTACTAATCCACCGGACCCGCACAGGAACGCTTCAAAGAGCAGAAGAGGCTCAAAAAGATCGCAAAAACGGCTTGGCTAAGAACTTGACGATATTACGACGTCTTCCCAAATGTTGTACATATCCGGGACATGTACTCTGAATATGTATACACCGTCATCCCCCAGAACATTCAATCGATGATCAACAGAACACCGAGGGAATTTTTGTCCCCAAGGCCCGAGTCTCGAGCGGATAGCCTGTGCGTCGAGACTCGAGGGCTAACATGAGAGTCTGTCAATCTGCCTGCCATTTTCACCCCTACATGCAAAGCATCACGTAGTCTGTCGCCATGCTGAACTAGAAGTAGAACTAGAAGTCGAGCTCAGGTGTATAAAGTTACTTGGATCCAGGGATGTTCAGACGGCCTATCTAGATGGTAGGAATAAACAGTTCAGATCGACGATTACGGCGCACACAAGCACAGTGTAGTCAACAGGCTTCAATTTCAATCCTGACCCCTGCATAGGGCGAAACAATCGTGACTGTTCACGCCTTTCGGCTTCTGAGAGGAGACAACGGGTACCGCAAATTCTGGGAAAGGTGTCTTCATCCTCAAGCAAGGTGCTCAGACCGTCGCAAGGACTGGCAATTTGACAACGTTGATATCGTAAAACGTCCAGTTCACTGACGCTGGATATCAAACATCGTAGGGCGTAATGCATTGCTGGGGTCCCGTCATTGCTCAGGTAAGTTTTAGCAAGGACTGGAATTGAAGGAGAGTTCGATAAGCGGAAGTTAAGCAAAGGTACTCGCAGTCTAGGGTTGTAAGTGTCCAGCTTCAAGCAATGCATTGGTGATGAATTTCATTGACGCGACATAGTACCATAAGAATTGGGCGTTGTGCAATGCATGTGACTGTACGAAAAAAAAAGGGTTGAGTACATAGACGTGGAGGTCTCTTCTATCTTTACTCCGCATCGACGACGGTTGTTTGAAGGCCCTGGCGGATGTCAATGCTTTAAAAAGAAACAAACATGTGGTATAAATGATCCAACATACCTTGAATGAGGATACGGGGACGTGGCTAGCGTACGTATAGAGCTTTTCTTTTGCATTCTCCTCGTCATTCCGCTTACCTATGGAGTCAGAAAGAACGAGCGTTAGAGCGCCCCGAAATTGCAGCCGTTCTAGCTTGTCTCAGGACGAGTGGAGGGCATACTCACGCTCGAGCTTAACGCGTATCCGATGGGGCACGGTCTTTATTCCCTGTGCCCACAGTGCTTGGTTGAGCTTGGGATCGAGCCGCACATCTGAAGTGCCCATTGCCTTCTGGGCGAAACTGACGACGGACTTGACTGCCCATGGGGCACGTTTTTTGAAAGAGCGGCCATGTACGAGTTTGTGCAAGTGGACTGTGTATTCACGGGTCACGACGTCCTGGAGGGCGGAGCGCTTTCCGGTCTGCACAGCACTCAGAGATCCAGCCTGACAACCTGATGTCTTGAAGCGTGCGCACCTTGCCACCTTTTGTCCTTGCCTGTACGCAATATCAGCTCTATGTCATATCACGACGAAAGGCAGTAACGCACCATGTCTTGAGGATGTCGAAGTCGACGAGCTTGTGTGTTGGTACTCCCCTTACTTTGCCGTTGTTTGTTCTGGTGAGAGAAAGTTTGTGGCTTGCAAAAACGATATAGCATCTCGGCAAATTCCGTGATTATCAAATTTGACCTCCGCGTAGGTAGTCCCACGTGGTCAGCAGACATGATCCCTTTGTTCTCTTCTTGGCAGCTTGACAGTGCAGTTTGAGACTTCCCTTTGTCTGCCCGGAGTCGCCAACCAAAAATTCCCATTATCAGCCCATTTTCCTCGTCGTGCCCGTCATCGGCGACTGTGCGACTGGGATTGAGCTTGACCAACGCATTGTTCTTCGTAAATACGGAACAATGACCATCCAGGCCAGGAGACCGCGAACTCACGCGTAGTCCGACTATTATTACCTGCACTACACGATTACGGTTCTGATGACACGGCAGGAACGCTCTTGTTTGGCGGATATTTGGTGAACATTAGAGCCGCTCCGGGTATAAAGGACGGTCTTTCAACAGTTTTGCTCCAGACCGACGCTTCACCTTACTCCACCCACCCTCGCTCATCCTAACATGCGTTTCACAGCTGCTTTCTTTGGCCTGTCGGTCATTGTCTCTTCAGTTTCTGCAGCCCTGGTTGCACGACAGTCCCTCCCAAGTATGTCTCTCGATCGAGCACTGGTTCATGACTTAACCTCTTTGTCTTAGACTGCGCTGCTCCGTGTCTGGCAAATGCCAACTATGGTGGCTGTGCCCAGGACGATGATACCTGTCTATGCCATAACCAGAGTTTTGTCAATTCAACGACTTCTTGCATCGAGTCGTCGTGCTCCGGCAGCGACCTCGCAGAAGCAGAGTCATTTGCCCAGCAGCTTTGCCTCGCTGTGGTACGTTAGTGTGCCATTGAACATATGCAGTATCTAATCCGCCCTCTTTACTTAGGGTGTTACTCTGACTGCCTCTACCCCGGCTCCTACGGCTACCAGTAGTTCGACTGGTTCACCTTCGTAAGAATACAACGGTCGCAATAGTCCCAAAACTCACTTTCTCGCTTTCTATTGCAGTCCTTCGCCCTCCACCGGTGGTGCGCTGTCAAATGGCATTAATACGTTGGCTGGCGCGGCTGCTGCTCTCGCACTAGCTGCAGTACTCTAAGCAACTGCTGTCTGAGGCGCTGTTTTTCTTGACACTCCACCTTTACGAGCTGTCGATCCAGGCTCGACGTTTTGATTTCGTTTTTCTTGTAAACATGCATTGGGGATTGTTGGGGGTGTATACACTAGAGCATTTTCAGAACCGCTTTAAGTCACATTTTGATACCTCGCCTACACTGGAATTTTGTAGCCACTGCCAAGTTATCGTCTTTCCCCGCGACCGGGGTTCTCCACGTGCAACTCCTTATAAAACCGCTTTTTGGTAGCCTAAACTGCGTAATACTTGCCTCTCTGTTGTCTGCACTGTTCGAACAGCTTGGTATCCTGTACAACGTCCGACTGACCCACAACCGACGCGAGGCCATCGCCTTTAGTGTGGCCTGCTACTCGTGATGAAGACCAAGACATGGCTACAGATTCGGCGAGTGCCAACGACATTGGCGTTGTTAGTTGGATTACTGCTCGGGTTGCTCATAGGTCGGGCATTGCCTGTGGGTGTATGTCTCGGTTCCTTTCACGTTCGCTGCACTCACAACTTGTCGACAAGCAGCTACTTCCGATTTCATGGGCAGGTGGGAATGGGCCTATATTTGTCTCCCGGTTGTCAGCTCGCAAGCAGTTCACACTGCCAAACGTCGACCAGCGTCATCGGGTCCTTGAACTCCTTTCTACCCTGTCCCCGCATCACACCGTCGAATGTACACGCAACTCCCAACCGCTGTACGTCCAGCAAGTACGAGAACGCTACAAAGCTCTTGTAGGGTACAAACCCCCATTCCAAGCATCCTGGCTCTCCTCTCTTGGACTTGGCAAGTTTGGAGAGTCACAACACGTCTACAGCGTACCAGCGAAGGAACACAAATATTTCTTCGCCATCAACTTGTACAACTCGTTTGATATCATCCCGGACCTCTTTGCGACGCTATTTAGGGTGTCAGCAATCCTAGGGTATCATAACGTGTATGTGTCCATATACGAGAATGGGTCGACGGACCAAACGAAGGCGCTTCTTCGAATTTTTGATGTTCTGACGAGGAGCGTGGGGCTGAGGGTCACGATACGAACATCCACAAGGACGAGGGGCGCCTTCAACCATCGTATCGAGTACCTTGCAGAAGTCCGAAATCAGGCGTTTAATCCGCTACACGAGCTCAGAGACTCGCACAACGAGTACTTTGACACTATCATATTCATGAACGATATTCTGCCCTGCGTGGATGACATCCTCGAACTCATCTGGCAAAGCAGGAGGAATAACGCAGGCATCACGTGTGCTGCTGATTATATGTACCACGAAGAGATTGTGAGTTTGTAGTGTCAATTGACACTGCCCTGTTACTCAAACATGAATATTACTGCTTCAGGGTTCACCAGTATTCTATGATAACTGGGTAGCGCGTGACATAAATGGAACTGCGCTAGAAAACGCTCCATTTGAATCTATCTTCCACGACCCATATTCCTCCGAGCGCTTCCAGATGCATCTCCCTATACAAGTACAATCGTGTTGGAACGGTGTCGCAGTTCTTGACCCAGCACCATTTTACACTCCACCATACGTCCGCTTCCGGATGGCGAGGCTGACAGAGGACGAGTGTTCTGCGTCGGAGTGCAGTTTGATCTGTAATGATTATTGGGAGGCAGGATATGGCCGGATACTGATGGTTCCGAGAGTGAAACTGGCGTATGATAAGGTCAGTCCGGTCGTTGGATTTTCAATAGCGGCAGCTTGTGAGTTGCAGTCCTGATCTACTTGATGTTACAGAAAGTTTTTGACATAATACATCCTTTCCGGAGAAATCTAACGGCGATCAGAGGCTATGTCCGCCTGGGTGGTTTGCCAGACAACCCACGCACGGATCCTCAAGACCGGTCGTGGTTTGGTCCGCACGACAGACTTTTCACGCCAGATGAAAGCGATGAGATAGACTTCAAGCCGGGCCCCTCGCATGGTGAGTGCGAATGGGCGTTTATTATCTCTCACTCACGTACTACAGTGTGGTGTTGGGGCTGGGACGGAGCGGGGGACATCGACGGACCTGATGTTGATCCCATTTGGGAACGTATGCCGAATCGCTCTCAGAGCACAGAGGCGGTGAATATCAAGCATCGACGAAACATAAATGGACTATAAATTCTGCTGCGATCTTTGTGCTGTCGTATACATGTTGGACAAGTACAATACATGCTGGCTCAGCATGAGGGTACCACAGGGAGATTTCTTGCTTACGCATGTATGGGGCTTTTGGCACAGTTGGTAGCGCGCACGCTTCGCATTTTTCTGACTGCGTGAGGTCGTGGGTTCGACTCCCACAGAGTCCATTTTTTTGACGCAGTGGTGGTTGTCTTTTGAGAGGCAGTTTTACTCCAGTGGGCAGGCCGAAGAGCAAGATAATCGCTGTGTACTTCTCTACTATTAGTATGGTTCTGCTCTAACTTAACTTCCCCACAGCTAATAGGTCAACGTGACGAAGACTGTTCCTTCTAGGCTTGTGCTACCATTCAGTAACAGGGTTTCAACCTCGTTTACCGAGTCCGTGAAATACGTGGCATTCTGTAGGCTCGTTTGCGACATGCAGCGACGTTTCGGGCTCGGCAAGGGTCTGGCACGCCTCTCAAACGCATCCCAACAGCGCCTCACTGGCATGCGCAGGGATCCAGCTAACCACTCGCGATGGCACCAACGCTACTTGGGCGTACCCAATCGCATATGGGCCCTGCTGGGCATTTTCGTCTCCATTGTGGCGTTGACACGCTATGTGCTACCCTCGTATCACTACCGACCCCCTCCGTTGACCACCGTCGGACTAGTGCCGAAAAACTACCTCCACGAAGCCAGTTATTTCGCCGCAAATACGTCGGAGGTCGAAGGGCAATCGACCTGGAACCCATTCATGTTTTGCCCGGTGTTTGGGCCTGCAGATGATATCGCGGAAAAGTATGGAGTGATGGCGCTCACGCAGAGTCGCCTGCATCTTGGCAGTGGAGGGAGGGTGCACCGCGTCATACACAAAGCGTTGTTGGGTCAGCCTATAGTGGTCAGCGTGTTGGGGGGATCGGGTGAGTCTTCTCGTTTGGACACCTCGCCGCTTGGTTCCCTATCCTCCAGCTCACTGGCCATACATCGGTAGTCTCAGCTTGTCATGGCGCGGGCGATGATCCACTGTCACCAACATGTTATCCCTCACTCTTCTTCCAATGGTGGTTGAGCGTATTTCCACATCCCGCTTCTGAGCTCACGAATGGGGCCATGCGCCGAACGAACTCAGGGTACTTTGGCTTCTGTAGTACCCACCACGTACCAGAAAATACCGACCTTGTAATAGTAGAGTTTGACATCGATGATCCAGGGTGAGTATGGGATCCTCATGTGCCCGGTGTCTGTAAGTTTACCATGTCTATCCAGCGACCAACGTGGTATGGAGAACTTTGAGCTTCTTGTCCGCTCACTACTGGACCGGCCAGATCAGCCTGCTGTCGTGATCCTGGGACACTTCAGCCCCCAGATTCATCAGGCTTACGGCTTTGCGGGTCCTGACCATTGGCACAATATAGTTGCTCAATTCTATGATGTACCCCACATCAGGTGCGTGTTCTAGGTTCTCGGCGCAGTCAGCACCACTCACCCACTTCCAGCGCAAAGCCCGTTCTCTATCCCTCATACATGTCCAACCCTGATCTCATCAAACCCTATTATGCAGATGCCATGCTTGCCAACTCCCAGGGGCATGAACTTCTCGCTGACGTTCTCATATCTTATTTCCAGTCCCAGATTTGCGCTGCATGGTCGACAGTCCGCGGCCACTCCTTTGAGACAATTCCGATAATGTTAGCCCCTGGTTACAATCCTGGGATGAGCTTAGACACCCACCTCTTCGGCGGCGTTGGGGCACGCAAAGGCGCTGCCGCACCCGAGCCTCCAAAAGCTAACGCTGAGAATGCCGACACTGGCAAGAAAGCCTTACAGCCTGCCGTCCATGAATCACATCCTGTACCTATTTACCCCGAGCTCCACATCCCGCCTGTACGGATCAACACGCGGCCTCAGTCTTCAAGGCCGTTTGAAGAACCGGCACCATTTTGTGCGTCGGCGAACGATCTTGTCAATCCAGTCCCGCCGTCATTGTTTTATGGATCAGGATGGAGTGCAGCTCATCCCCCACAGGGAACGTCACCATTGTTGACGGTAGGGTATTATTGGCACAGCTCGATGCCGCTGAGTAAGTTGCGAGTGCCGATCAAGGTCGGTGCTGGAGATGTGGGGATATACTACTTGAAGGAACCTATCAGAGACGTTGAGCAGGGAAGTCAAATTGAGTGCTGGGTGGACGACAACTTTGGAGGGGCGGTCATCATCGAGAACTCTGGCGACGTTGCAAGTCCGGTGCCCACGTAAGTTACAACTCTTATAACGGATCACCAGGTTTTGATGACTTTTTCTTTTTTTCTTTTTCCCATACGTGCAGACTCGAAGTCATCGACCATTATGTCACGCGGGGTAACCATTACGTGGAATGCGTCCTCTTGGGTGAGGAAGGCCAGCCCGTACCTTCGTTCAAAATCATAGGAATATTCGCGACATGAAGCATGCCGCGCGGACTAGAACCTTGGACATCCTAATTGCATTTTGGTTTCTTGGGACGTTGTAACGACTTGTATATTTTTCATACGTGCTACATCCACAATTACTACACCAGTATATAGATACATACGATGGGGGTCGCCATTTGCAGCGGAACCCAAGGCTGTGGTTAGGTCTTGGGGCGTGGCGTGAGAACATGCTATTACTCTCGCCGCAGCTCCAGCCAAAGCCTTGCACTCGCCACTAACCTAGTTCCTTCGCACATACCCTGTCCTGAAATCTTTACGCTCCAAGTACGATCTGGTAGTTGAATTACGATGAGCACCAGAAGGGCACTACCGTCTAGTGAGTTGGACAGCTGAGCGTCAGTTCGCGGAGTCTGAAGCAGCCTTTAGGCGCACCACCCACATATGCGTATGTGACGAGGTATTATAGACGCAGCCTGCGTCCTGTTGTGTTGGGAAGTTGGTGCGATGATCTATTCATTCTAACGTGACATTCATATCTCTGTGTAGTGTCCGTTGTTACAGCCGTGTGGGCTTTAGCATGGTACGTCGTTGTCATGTACTCCGGGTGAATTCCTTGACGCTTCACTGCAGGACTGTGAGCTATCTTACACCGGAATTTCAACACGACCTTAGCAGTACTTTAGGTCTCTTCGTTCCAAGAACTTAAGCTCGACCAAAATGGTGTGATGTTATGATGTTATACACATCTCCTTGGATACTTACGGCTGTCCATAGACAATTTTCCGAAACTCGCCTCGCTAGCCATCGCGCAGGGGGTGATGTATGCAGTAGCAAGCGCATTCCAAGTGTTTGGTATCACCGCTGCTGCAATGGTACGCGCGAGCGTCTGTCGTCACGATCACTCCCTTAACCTTCGTCACTCCAGCAACGGTTCAAACTTGTGAAACTGTACGCCTTTCTTTGCGCTCTCAGTGCATTACTTGTCGTAGGCGTGGGTATGATGCGATCAGTCACCCACTTCACCTTCAAAGTACGACTGCGCAAATGACACACGATTGTCATGCTGACGCAGTCTATGTGCAGGATGACCTGATTCAGGAGTGTCAGATGATGGCTCAGAATGGCACCAGTGAATCTGTTTGTGTTTACTTAGAAGAATCATCATTGAAGAGCCATTGATCATGTTGTTAATTCATAGGTTTTCGGAATCTGGGGTTCTGACCCACCGTCAAATCTCTCGCCGAGTGAAGTCGCAAGCTGTAGGTTTGTTCAAATGACACTTGCATCGTATTGCTGACGTAGTCGTGGTAGACTGCAATGACCAGTGGAACCATGATTCGTGGGCTGAAATTGTCGTTCTATTGATTGAGATCGGTATGTTTTATCGGCTAACCCGGAGAACTAATCTCCATTCTCGCGGCTGCAGTCCTTGGTTTACTTTTCACGTCGATCGCATTTGCGTACTACCGTCAAGCGCTCGATCCATCTAGCCCTGTCAACGCCTCCCGTGCACCCTTCAACCAGAGCAGGATGGAAGATTACCCATCTCATTACAATCCAGCCTACGAGCCTGCGTACGTTTCCCCTGTGGGGGCTCCGTTTGACGGCAGCGGGAAGCCGCCAGACTACAAACGCGGGAGCTACGTTCCATACGGAGAAGACAAAGACGCTAAGGAAGGTGACCCATTCTCTGATTATGATGGGCCTAGCGTGCCAATGCCAACCCATTGGGCGGAGGAGAGGGATGAGCCTTCGTTGAAGGCGTAATAGGTGCGACATGTCTTGATGCAGCTCTGAGTTGGACATTTTCTGTATGCCATGGCTCCTGTCTCCTTACTATGCATCTCATACTTTCAATACTGAATGGGACATTCATGGTTCATATGACCTCCTCGGTCAAGGATTTTGATGTGGCCATCGCGTGGATGCGATGAAATGGTAAGATGAAAGGAAAGCATGCTAATAGCCATAGAGCAACCGAACCCTGCCGAGCTAACGGACTGCTTATTTCTGCCCACTAGTCTTCTGCTGGCTTTTGATAACTTTCTTCACGATCTTCGCCTCCTCGACTAAAAATGCTCGAAGGATACTAAGCAGAGACATCATTGAGGATATTTAAGCGGCATGAAAGGCGCGAGAAACTTACCGTGACTTGACGCAGTCTCCGCACCGCGAGCCACCATATGCTCTACGAACGGTCTTTTGACGCTTTGAGATCGTTGCATACTGGCGGGGACGCAGGGCAGGAATCTGAATAAAGCACACCAAATCAATGTTTGACAAAAGCTTATGATTAAAGATTAAAATGTAGACGTACACCAGGGAGGCCAATTCCGCAATCGCCGCACTTGGGCTGAGTAGGAAGCTTCTTAAGGTGGTGGTATACAAGTTTGCCACCAGGGGTCTTGACCACTCGCCGACGGTTCGAGGTAGTATTGTATGGTTGGCGTTTACGAAGGGTGACACGTTGAGCCATTGTGGTCTGTAGGAGAGCGTGTACGGTGTCAGCTTGGTGTGAGCTGAATATCCAAGGGGGAAATGAGGTTTCCGCCTAACCGCCCGCTCCACCAGGATGAATCCGCCATAATCCCTCAAGATTACTGTTGTTCAGCAAACTCACCGATTTTACCTGCCTATGGCGCATCCCGTCTCAGCATTTTGGATGGAAGCAACACACAGTAACATACCTTGAGTCTTGAGGATCGTTGAGGACGGCGCTGAATGTGGATCCACTATTGGCTACTGGGGCAATTGTGGCTGAGTGGTGCTGT